CATTCTGCTTTTTGCACCCCTTGGCCCATTTCTTTATTTTTGCATATTTTTCATTTCTTTTTTTTTTATTTTCTGACTTTATTATTTTTTCTTGAACATTTAAAATCACAAAAAATATTTTCTTTATTTTTTGGCATTTTGTTATATTTTTATTTTATTTTTATTTTCATAATAAATAATTATTAGGTTAATATTACTTTATTTTCTTAATTAAAACTTGTAAATAATACTAAAATACTTACATATTTTATTTTATTTTATTATACATATAAAAATAATATTTTCTCACATATTTTATTTTTAACATTTTTGTATATATTTTTATTTGTTATCTTGTACATAAATAATAATTAGTAATATATATTTTCTTTTAAACAAAAAACTAGGGTTTCCACCCTTTCCAAAAATAATCATTAATATTTTTCTTATTCTTGAGACATAAATAATTTATTTTACATACATAAAATAAATACAAAAAAAAACATCATTTGCATATTTATATTTATTTGTATTTTTAAATATTTGCTTATTTATTTATTTGTACAAATAAATTCAATATGGTTGTAATAGTTTTAGGGATTTATTTTTGAGCAATATCTCCCTATTCAAACTTGTATCCCCCTCCCCATAATAATGTTGTAATAGTCTTATATTTACTTTTACGCATTTTATCGCTTTCAAATGCCATGATAGTAAATTAGGGTTTGTATGCAAAAGACCAAAATCAAACAAATAACATGACTAAACACAAGACAAAAATGCATGAAAAATGACAACACATTACACACAAGCACCCCTAGGGTTTCATCCACTTTGTTGCTTTAAAATGGCCATGATATGCATGTTAGGTATCTTGGAAAAATCAATCAAAAACAAAAGATCATAGTCCCTCGATGACGCTATCTTGGTTGCCTAAACAAAAATGATCTAGTCCCTAAAACTTGCTAAGATACTTGGAAATATTGTTATCATGGTCATACGATGACCCACGCCCGTCCCGTTTAACATCCAAATACAAGGTTGTTTACCAAATACAATGGCAAAACAATAATGTCAAAAGGGTTAAAAATGTGTAGGAAAGATCTTTGAGTAGGGTAGACAACTCCTAGTTACTTGATCAAATTTGCAAACATTCTTTCTATTTTCAAAACACACACACAATTTCAAAACAATTTCCCAATAAACTTTCAAACATTGAAACATTTTTCAAAAGACAATACATCTTTGTATACATTCTTCAAACAAGAATCATTAGAAAGATTGCCAAAATGATGGCCTCTTTTCAAAATACTTTCAAAACCACACAAAGTACCATTTCAAACAATTTAAAAAGCAAAGAAAGTGATCTAAACAAGTAACTAAGAGCCCATGGAAAACCATGGATGAAAAGGGTGCTAGCACCTTCCCTTTTCATAATCTACCCCCCGAACCCAAGAAAACATCTCAAAGGTCTTTCCTGTGCTTTTTGACCTTTCCTTTGGATAAAATAAAAGTCGGTGGCAACTCTTGCTAAACCGGAACATTTGCAAACACAAACGCAAAACCTCAAGTCAGTTCTCCCACCGTATCACACATATTAACGTTTAAGTTTGCTATTATATTTCAAATTATGTGATATTCAATTTTTTTCACTTTTTTATGTAGCGTTTAACGATTGGACATCTTTCTCCCTCGATAACTTAAAAGACATTTGTAGATGTTGGGTGTTTATTTTTAATGCGTCACTTGAAAAGGGTGCTAATATGTGACTTTGGCTTTGATGTTTGGAAATATATCATTTTGGATTTGATGTTTGTAATACATGACAAAGGTAATTGTATGTTTCTAATTAATATTTATGGCTTTGATGTAAAAAAAATATTTAGGTTTGTAATATATGTATAAAACACAGGTTTGTAATAAATGGAAAAATAAAATAAATTTAAAAAAAACAAATTATTTCATCACGGTTGTTTGCTATTACCGTTGTGATAGGTAGCGCGCCAAATATTATATACTACTCATTACCTTTATATATTTCACAACGGTTGTTTACTATAATCATTGTGATAGATAGTGTACTATCTAGTTTAACACAATGATCACACGCCCGTGGTGGAACACAACATACTTACAACCACACCCTACCTTATAACGATTAGTCAATCGTGATGGTATTCCCTTTCCGACCATTGTGAAAGGGGTCTTCCTTAATAGTGTTTCCTCTTCTTCAATTTACTGTATGTATCTATTTCATCACCTTTATCACCATTTATGTTGAGTTTTAAGTTTTGGTGTCGTTAAATATTATATTATTGTAAATAAAAATTGATAACACATACATATTTTAGGTTTCAGTCATATAGGGTGTGTGTGTATGTTGAGGAATGTAGGCAGCTGCAAGCATATGTGAGTATTGTTGTATATATGTGTATGCAGCATATAACCATATTAGTATGTTGTGTGTATAGCATTAGTGTACCATTCACATTATTATTGTTGTGATTGAGTGATATTAAGATTGTTTTTATGTATTTGAGAATGTTATATATTATTGTGATTGAGTGGTATCAAGATTGTTTTATTCTTATTGTGTTGTTGTATTGTTAAATGATTCTACAAGTTGTTGATATAAATTTCAGAATTTATTATGGATTATAGTTGGATGAAAGCTGATAGATTAGGTATGGTGTATGAGAAATGAGTTCTTAAATTCCTTGAATACATGAAACTAAATCTTCCCAACAATAATGGTCTCTTTTATTGTCCTTGTGTTAATTGCCAGAATATCAAAAAACTCAAAGGAAGAAATATTTCATCACCTATGTTGTGATGAAATTTGTCAAAATTATACTATATAGACTTGGAATGGTGAAGTAGATAAAAATCAAAATGTGACATCACAAAGATATGAAGTTGATGAAGATATGGATGATCGACTAAAAGATATGATTCGTAATATTTAAGAATCTTCTTTTAGAAAAGCTCATATTTATGATACTTTATGTAGTAATATGGATGCACCTTTATATAAGGGTGCACAAGGTTTACACGATTGTCTACATGTTAAAATTCTCTAATTTGAAGGCAAAAAAGTTGGTGGACGGGTAAAAATTTCACGAAATTGATTTATTTGCTTAAACAAATGCTACCAGGAGATAATAATTTGCCAAAACTTTATTATGAGGCCAAGAATATATTATGTCTAACGGGTATGGAGTATATTAAAATACATGCATGCCGTAATGATTGCATATTATACAGGAAAGAATATAAAAATTGAAACAACGTCCAGAATGTGGTGAGTTGTGCTACAAGGTGAAGGACAATAATGGTGATGACTATGACGATGTTAGTAAGAAACTTCCTCCTATTAAAGTTTTATGGTACTTGTCAATAATTTCAAAGTTTAAGAAAAAAATTTCTAATACAAATGTCACAAAGAATATTAGATGGCATGCATATGAAAGAAAATGTGATGGAAGCATTCGCCTTGTAGCTCATTCTTTACAATGAAAGAAAATTGATTGGTTGTTTCTAGATTTTGGCCTTGAGCCAATAACCTTAGACTTGGGCTTGCCGCGGATGGAATAAACTCATTTGGTAATCGAAGTACTAACCATACTTTGTGGCATATTCTTCTTATGATTTATAACATATCTCCTTGGTTCACGGATATATCACCAGTTTGTCATGAGAATTCAAACAAATTAAAAAATATCAAAATATTATTGAAAAAAAAAAGATAGACTGCAAGATAATTGTATAAGTTTTTAAAAACTTCTATTGTGAAGAAAAACTATTACGCACATAATTTGTAAAAAAAAAAAACAATTGTGAAAAATAGAAAGAAAAAAATGTTTTTTAAGGATTGATAGAGTTGTAATAATAAAAAGATTTATAAAGTTTAATAAATGAGACAAATAAATATTCAAAATTAAAATTAGTTGAAAATCAGTAGAAACATAATTATACATAAAAGTCAAAAAAAGATAATCATATAAAAGAATTAAGTTTAATGTTGTATTTATTAAATTTTGGACTATTGTTTAAAATATAAAAATAATGTTAAACTTGTGCGTTCGCATGGATTTTGGCATGGTTACTCGTGCGTTCACACGCTACTCGTGTATTACCCGTGCGTTCACAAGAATTTTGGTCTGGTTATCTGTGTGGTCACACGGATTTTGACCTAATTACCTGTGTGTTCACACGATACTAGTGTATAACATGTGCGTTCACAAAGATTTTTGCATGGTTACCCGTGCGTTCACACGGTACTTATTTGTTACTCGTGCGTTCACACGGTACTTATTTGTTATCCGTGCGTTCATACGATATTGGTTTGTTACCCGTGCGTTCAAGCGAATTTTGATCTAATTACCCGTGCGTTCACACGACACTGGTGTGTTATCTGTACGTTCACACGGATTTTGTTCTGATTATTCGTGTGTTCACACAATACTGGTGTGTTATCCGCGCGTTCACACGGATACTGGTCTGATTCGTTTATTATCACAAAAATATTTTTAAAAATTAGAAGAGAAAAATTCAAAATATAATTTTGAGGAAAGTTTTATAGATAAATTTGGTGAATGAGATATTTCTAGTAGAAAAAAAAAGGCATATTTTAGAAAATGTTTTAAAAATAGAAAAAAAACTGCAACCTTAATGTTTTATTAAAATTAGCGGGTAAATAAAGAATGAAACATAAGTAACATGTTTAGTCACATAGTGAACCGGTGTTTTGTTTCTAATTAAAGTACAAATCTTGTCTCTATAATTCATATAAAGCCAATATTCCAATGCTAAAACAAAGGACTTTTTCTTGTACTGAAATTCAACCAAATATTTAGTAAAACTGGAACAGCAAGAATGAAACATCTAAACACACTTTGTCATAGAAAGTTTGAATTTGGAGAATGTATAGAATCTTCTACACACTGAAAAGCTTAAGTTGTAATGTAAAAGCTGTAAACTATTTTGCTTAAAAATAAAAGGTATATGAATGGAAAGCTTCATTACTTTACCATATGGAGAAGATAACTTTGACAGCGGGAAATTCTATGCAAGGCAACATGAGGATAAAATGCATTGCCACGGTACAATGAACCTGCATTTTTGCCGGCAAGACGAACCTGCATCAATTGGACATCTGCTTCTCCATTATGGGTTATTATGGCTTAGTTACAGCGTCAGACGCAACTTTTAAACTACTCAACATAAATTGCATTGAAGTATCACTAAGAATATGAGAAACATAAATTAAAGGAAATAGATAACAGAAAGAATAATCTACACTATTCTAAATTATGCAGGTTTGGTAGTGTTACTGAGCCATTTCACTATCGTTTTTAATGTATAAAGCTCAACTTAGACATAATAGATCGGTAAATGGAAAAGCTCGACTGTCACCGGTCATAGAAAATATGCACTAACATAATAATGATTAGCATAATCAACATCCTTAAGTCATCCCAAAAATGTCACTCATAGCCATTCAATAATTATTTTATTCAAATTTCACTACGGTATAACACCGTATAGCTGCTATATATCACGCTGGTTAGTAAAGGTGTCATACCTTCAACAACCATTGCATTTGCCTTTACTTTGGCATCATATAAACACTTTGATATGTCAAGGAGAGCAACAACTTCTCCATTCTCCACCACAGGTAAATGTCCAAATCTGAAATGATATAAGCAGATCATATCTTATTAAGTTAAAAGACAAAATCATAAATAATTGAATTAACATCCAGTTATCAGTAACTCAAAACATTAGAAGGCCACATCAGACTCCAAATAATCAGTAAGAATTTGGAAGGTCACTAAAGTCAATTGTATTCATTCCAAGTCACTCGATTCGGCTTCGTTCCTTTAACTAAGGACAATTGGATTAAAAAGATACAAACTTTGCATATAACTTTCAACATTAGTATAACCTAAAATCACAGAAGATCATGGTGTTCCACGTTACATTATTTCTCTGTGGCATTTCATTGAACAGTACACATGCATCAATGAAAGAGAGAAGAATATATACCAAAATAATTTATATGCGGTCCAGTCAAATCCGATCATCGCATAGACTATAACTTCATATACCACAGCTTGAATAAAAATACAGATCTGACAGATCCATAAGTTAGATTTAGGGGGGGAAACACAGAAAATTTAGAAACATAATATACTTTGCTTTAAAAATACTAAAAATAGAATCATTCCCTAGAAGTTCATATTTCACTGAATGGTCAGATATCAACCGCAGTGTTGGATCTGCAAGGAAGAAAACCATACACAAAACTAATTAGATTTATAAACAAACACTAACCCTAAATCTTAACTTCAAACAAACACAAACTCTAAAACTTAACTTTAAACAAACACAAATCCTAAATCATTAAAGAGTATAAATCACAAATAAAAACCACTAACCGTTTGAATACTATACATGTAATATATTACATGATGTAAATAGTTAATCTTAGCTAGTTTTATATGCTTTTGTTTTTAGTTAAGTTAAATGCCTAAGTTAGTTAGCTAGCTCTCTATATATATTGTCTTCCCCTTGTACCGTAAACATAGAGTAATACAGAAGACACTCCTTTTCCATAATTTCTCTTATTCCAAAACTAACATGGTATCAGTTTGAAACCTTCTTCTTTTTCCGCCCTTTTTTTCCTTCATATTCTTCGCGTCTTCCCCTTCTTTGCTGCATCACCTTAACTATGGTGATTTCTTACTCTGATTTCGCAACGAATCCCTCAAATCCTTATTATATGCATCCTAATGAGAATCCCTCCCTTGTTCTTGTTCAACTCGTTCTTGATAACCACAACTACCAGATCTGGTGTAGATCCATGAAGGTGGCTCTTATCTCCAAGAACAAGGTCAAGTTCATTGATGACACTCTTTCTGCTCCGCCTATCTCTGATCCTCTCTATGAACCTTGGCTTCGATGCAACAATCTCGCCCTTTCATGGCTTCAACGTTCCATTTCTGAAGAATCGGTTTTCTCAAGGAGACATTTTTCGTATTGCTGATATTCAAGAAGAGGTAGCTCGTCTTCAACAAGGCACTCTTGATATTTCTTCGTTCTTCACCAAATTGATGACGCTTTGGGAAGAAATCGAGAATTTCCGCCCAATTCGTGATTGTACTTGCGCTATATCGTGTTCTTGTGGTGCTGCTTCAGATCTACGAAAATTTAAGGAGCAAGATAAGGTCGTCAAGTTCTTGAAAGGTCTTGGTGATCAATACTCTCATGTTCGATCACAGATTATGCTAATGTCTCCTTTACCAACCCTTGACAATGCGTTCAATCTGGTTCTTCAACAAGAAATTCAGTTCAACCTTCATTCAACCACTGATTCTTCAATTGAGAATCAATCCTCGGTAAATTACTTTTCTCAGACGCCTTCTCGTACTTCTAACAACTCTGGCCGTGGTCGTGGCCGCAGATACTCCTCCAGTGGTCGTGGCTGTAACACCCCAATTCTACCCCAATCAATTATGCAAAATAAATCAGAGTTATAAAATTTCAATCATACAAATAAATCGGGACGTCACAAATTCTTCTAACAAATTCATTGCATTCATCATGGATATATAACACTTTTTCAAAACATCGGATGAACCGTCAACATAATATTTTCATTAAAATAATCCAACATCTACGCAGCGGAATTCTTCAATAACATCTTTAATTAAAACAGCAACTTCGAAACATCTCACATTTAAAAATAATCAATTCAAAACTCAGCAAATGAAAATCAACAATCAAAAATCAGCAAGCGTTCATCCCCCCGAGTGTTACATATCAGAGCAATGACACCTACTCGAACTTATTGAAGGTATATAGGCTTCACTCGCGATTACCTGCACGTTACCAACATAGAGGCAACATTCAAACAGAAGGGGTGAGATATCTAACAATATGATAAAGCGCATGATAATTAATATATTAAATTAGATCATCAATATCACCACTTCTCATCACATAATCAATAATAATTACAGCATATATATTCATTCATCAACATCAAATACACTTCATTATTCAATCATAAAATGCGACTCAAAACTATGTAAATGCATGTGGTACCATTGGAGCAGAACTCCCATCTCAAAAATCTGCCAATTAATTGAGGCATCAACAAGACATAGCCTTCATCTCAAAATTTGTCAATCCAGGCCATCTCAACGAGCATAAGCTCCATCTCAAAAATGCAATGTATGCGACTCTTCATGAATGTAATATCAACATCTCAATCATCTCAAAACACAACATCTCATAAACACCTCAGAACAACAACATCTCATAAGCATCTCAGAACAACATCTCATAAACATCTCAGAACAACAACATCTCATAAACATCTCAAAACAACAACATCTCAATCATCTCAAAATAACATATCATAAACATCTCAAAACATCCCAATTACAGTATCTCATAAACATCTCAAAATAATTTATTAAACATCATTTATTTATCAAACGTCATTGGTTCATCATAATTATCAAACACCACTTTATTAACCACATCTTACTAATAACTCAGTTGTATATCAATACTACAGTAATTCATACTGTTATTCTGAAATTTTACAGCTTTACTGTCACTAATCCTATTGTCATATTTCCTAACAGCAACCTCTAAACATCTCATGTTCATCATTCTGTCCAAAATCCAGCAATAACGATCAATCACGGGAATTGATTCTAAATCCTAAATTAGTTACTAGGATTACACTTCTTAATCATCATTTTAATCGTCTAGAATAAAGTTCATCGCGTTAGCTAATCAACGCTTCGAACGGCATCTTAAAACTCAAGTTACAGCACTTTAAAAACTGATTCTGTCAAAATCCAAACATTATGTATCGACACGAAACTCTATGGTTCAACTCATCCTGGCTTCAAATTCAGCATGTATCGACACATGCACTTCACCGGTCGACTCATCCTGAGTCGAACACACGCATGCATCGACACATCCTCTCTTCGTGTCAACTCATCCTGCGTCTTGCAAATAACATGTATCGATGCAAGCCCTGCATGCATCGACTCATCCTGAGTCGAACAACTAACATGTATCGACACATCCTCTCTTTGCATCGACTCATCCTGAGTCGAACATCCTTCATGTATCGACACATCCAGCTTGGGGTCGACACATCCTTCGACAGTCTGCATAATTTTCTGCGTTTTCTTCTGTAATTCACTACGAGAATCATGTTACAGTCCTACAAACCTCATTATCATCATGATAAATCATCACTTAACATTATACTCTATTACTCCATTGATCAAACAACATAATAACATTCTTATTCATCAAAAATTCATCAAATCTTCATCATATATCATTCAATTCAAGAACAAAAACAACAATTACATCTAACCCCATATATCAAATATCATGAACCCAATTATAAAGTCAGAACCCCACCCTTACCTTGGATCGAAGGTCGCTTTACAATCTTCCGGGTTGAATCTTTGTTCTTGCCGTCTTTCCACTTTTTCCGGCAGCTTCACGTTCTCTTCCCAAATCCTTATTCTTCCTTCTACTGCTCTTTCTTATATTCCTTCTCACAAATAATAATATAACCCTATTATTATATTATTCTTATTGGGCTCCAAACCTACACCCCCTTATTACTTCCACTCACACAATATAGGCCCACATTAAATAATATTAGCTTCTAACATTATTTCACCACATAATAATATAATGCCTCTAATATATTATTATTTCTCCACTTAATAAAATAAATCCAATTTAATAATAACATATCTTCGTCCTCGAAAATTTACCTCAATCAAACAATTCAGGATAGGAGTCTCGCATCTTGCTCTCCAATTCCCAAGTCATGCTTTCTCCTGCAGCTCCTAACCAAACCACTTTAACCAAGGCAATCTCTTTGCCCCTCAGAGTCTTCATCTCACGATCCACAATCCGTACAGGCATTGTCTCCATCGTAAGATTATCCCATACTTGCACATCGTCCATATGAATCACATGAGATGGATCTGAAATATACTTCCAAAGTTGCGACACATGAAACACATCATGCAAATTCGAAATATTAGGCGGTAAAGCCACTCTATAAGCAACATTCCCCACTCTCTCCGAAATCTGATACGGTCCAATAAAACGAGAAGTGAGCTTCTTAGACTTCAACGCTCGCCCAACACCAGTCACAGGTGTAACTCTCAAAAACACATGATCACCAGCTTGAAATTATAAATCTTTCCTTCGCTTGTCATGATAACTCTTCTGTCTACTTTGTGAAGCTTTCATCTTTTCTCGAATCAACTTCACCTTCTCAGTAGTCTCACGAACAAGTTCAGGTCTAAGTACTACACTTTCACCAGATTCATGCCAACATAACAGAGTTCTACATCTTCGACCATACAACGCCTCAAAAGGTGCCATTCCAATAATGGAATGATAACTGTTATTATAAGTGAACTCTATCAACGGAAAATAAGTATCCCACGAACCTCCCTGCTCGAGAACACATGCTCTCAAAAAGTCTTCCAACGATTGAATCGTCCGTTCAGTCTGACCATCTGTCTGAGGATGATACGCTGAACTCAACCTCAACTTAGAACCCAACGCTTCTTGCAAACTCTTCCAAAAATCAGAAGTAAATCTTGGATCTCTATTTGACACAATGCACAAAGGAACACCATGCAGCTTCACAATCACACTAATATAAATCTCAGCCAACTTCGACACTGGAAAACTGATGTTAATAGAAATAAAATGAGCTGACTTCGTAAGCCTATCAACAATCACCCAAATCGAATCATATCCTATTAAGGTACTAGGCAACCCCGTCACAAAGTCCATTGAAATGCTATCCCATTTCCATTCTGGAACTTCCAACGGTTGCATCAATCCTGCAGGCTTCTGATGTTCAACTTTCGACTTCTGACAAGTCAAACATGCATACACAAACCGAGCCACACCGCTCTTCATCCCAGGCCACCAAAACAAACCTTTCAAATCTTGATACATCTTTGTAGCTCCTGGATGAATACTCAACTTACTTCTATGGCTCTCTTCGAGTATTACTTTCTTCATCTCAGCATCATCAGGAATACAAATCCGGTTAGGAAATATCAACACACCTTGCTCATCTAACTTAAAATAACTATTCTCAGATTGATCAATCCCAACCATCAAATCTACCAGTTTCACATCTAACTTCCGAGCTTCTCTGATACTGTCTAAAATTTCATTTTTAATCTTCAACATACCCAACATAACACTTTGCGGAGTAACCTCGCAAACTAATCTCATATCTCTGAACTGCTCAATCAATTCCAACTCTTTAATCATCATTGCTGACATATGTAAAGTCTTTCGACTCAACGCATCAGCTACCACATTCGCCTTTCCTGGATGATAATTCAAACCGAAATCATAATCCTTTAACAATTCCAACCATCTTCGTTGCCTCATATTCAACTCCTTCTGATCAAATAAATACTTTAAGCTCTTATGGTCACTAAACACTTCAAATCTAGAACCATAAAGATAATGCCTCCAAATCTTCAACACAAAACAACTGCGGCAAGCTCTAAATCATGCGTAGGATA